ATTAGATTTCATATGAAAACACATTGATGATTTTCACAAAGATTATCTTCTGTTGAAACATTTTGTCGATAATCAATTTGATGTAATTTTCTGTAGATATTACCGACCTAATTTTTCTATGACGTGAATATTTCTTATCAACTCTCATGAAACATGGCAGCAACACCAAATGTAGTGAACGAAGAACTCAGAGGAGAGGGAAAGACCAACTTATTGTTCAATACAAAATTATGGAGTGCCTTCAAAAAATATGAATACTACACATTAAATACATTATTTACACATCTTTATTCAATTGTCCTTTACATAAATAATGATTCTTTCAATTCTGTTGCTATTATAGTCACTCTGTTTAAATTACTGTTCTATTCACTTAAATCTCCTCGGTCGTTTGCTGCTGTATGTTCCACTTCTGGTCCGTGTTACATACTACTTATGCTTGTCAACATACGTAGCACACACCACACAGTTTCACCTCCTTCGTTGCAATAATCTGTGTCATGCTCTCCGTTGAAATGTCAAGTCCGCCCGGCACCCGGGAAGTCCACCGTCTGCTCTCCGGTGACCCGATGGGCCGTCTACATTCGAGATCCCCCAGCAACCGGACGTCTCTTTTCTTCTCCCCGTCGACTGCCACTGCTACAGCCTACGCCGCCCTGTAAGAAACACTCCATTCTACCGCACCAACCAGAGATTCCTCTTCTGTCCTCTCATCGGCGTTTACAAACCTGTACCTTCCCCGCCTCCCCTTTGGCAGCGACATCAAATGTAGTGAACGAACACTCGGGTGGGGACACATATACGTTTAAATGTAGGCTTTAAAAGATAACGTAATCTATTGTATCAACTTAAGTTTATACAATAATGTATCAGCCCCAATTCAATAGTTATTATACCCTAAAAGCATTTTCTTGTGGGGAATACAAAACAGATAAATGCGATTCCAACAAAACTTTACCAATTCAACAAAAATATTTTGAGGCATAAAATGTTGTACAAATCTTTATTGTGAAGCACGTATATGGTATGCGCTACTGCTATGTAACAATCAGCAAGAGATTAGTTACTTACAAATATATGTATACATAACCATCAATTTCTTTTCGTCCTATCTTTTATACTCGGACTAATGCGAAATCGTCTTTGAATATCCTTAAAACTAACAATAATCTATTCAGATTAAATGTGAGTTTATTCACAAGAGAACTATCACTTTAGAAGTGATTTAATTTTTATAATCCATAATTAAAATACTAAACTGTAACTGTTCACAATTGGAAAATAAGACAGGATATTTTTGAAAATTTAGATTCATTTATCGCGAAAAAAACGAAAAATGTTTTAGGTTCATAAATTGATAAAAATTATTCACATACAGTAAGAGTTTGTATAAAATGTTGAATTCTATTTAAATCACGAGCCAATTTAGGTTACACCACCATTGAAAACCTAGAGACAATGAACCCTAGTACGGGACTCCTTCGGAGTGATCATCCTTGGCTCTGCACACGAGAATTTAACCAACGACCTTCAATTTTGCACGCCTCAACTCTAGATCACTAATTCTGGAACCAACGGTATTGTTGTCTAACTTCAATCGATCCACGACATTACACGACAAGATTCCATTGTCTTCGATGGGTGATTACCTTACACCCAATACTGATTAGCTCCATCGGTCACGGCTTCTTATCAGAACCCTGGAAGTTTTTTGTAGCTAGTCACTATTGAAAATATGACTTTAGTATTTGCACTGGATCTGCAAATAGGTTTAAATCACACATGGACTTGTAATGTGATACATGCAAAACGAATAATGTATTTTTTATATTACGGAAGTACTCATCATAAAAGTTCTCCATTAAATGCAAGCTAATGATATTCTTAAAGAGAGATTTTAGTTGCTTAATTTACAAATAACTAGTGTTGGGTACCAAAAATTGTTGATTGATATAAGTTTGTTGGTTAACACTTTATACACTAATTATCATTTAGTAGTAGATAATCCACGTATTTTCAGACCTCAGTCGAAGATATTGCAGGATGACGACTAATATAATTCACTCGACAAAATGCATTTTCTCTGATATCCAGCCTCTAGAATCAATATAAAGAAAACACTGTACCAAGTCTTTGAGATAGTTAGCTCCTTTTCACATCTCTTAAACCGATTTAATCGATTATTCTCATAATATTCAAGCCTATAGCTCTTAACGTCTCTGTCGAAAACACTACCGAAAGCCAAGTTTTGAAGAACCGTGATGTATATACACCAAATAGTTATTGATGAGTCTGCTTATTGAAGGCTGAATTCGATTTCCTAGCTGCTTGTAATAACCTTTGACTAAATCTACAGAGATACTTAAACATAAGAGAAAAGGCTCAAATTTCAAGAAACAGCTTCACTCCAAGGTTAAAGTATGTACAAAAGATTTACAAATTTTTACTATTTAAAGTGAACTTGATCATACATTAAACTCTAAAAGTACACTGAATACATCAGTAAGAAGGTATCTATCCAATCAAAAACGTAACACGTGATCTAACGTCCTTCTGGATATTTCGGAGAGACATCCATTGAATCCTGACTGAGTAAAATGTTTCCAATTGTTTCTGGGCCCCTATTGAGTTTACGATGGATATTTTGGATATATCTTATTGATGAGTGTCCCTTTACACGGTACCTAGTTTGATAGGTTTCAAATCAGTTGTCTTCAAACATCTAAAATACTTTCCACGTTAAAAAAATATTTTTTCCAACATTCCATGAAATATATTTTACATTTAAATCACATTTTATCCAAGTGTAACTGTTATCTAATTTCCCCTCAAATGATAGTCCAATTCTTACAATTCCTTATTTCAAAAATAAACATCAAACAACTACTACTTTAGAACTCATCAGCAGTGCGCATCCACGACCTCGCCCCCTGCGAGATTCGAACCCAGGACCTATTGGTTTCGCGCGCGAGCATTTAACTACTAGACCACTGAGCCAGCATCTAACAGTTAATGTCCAACTTAAACTAATCCACGAAATTGAACGACACATCCACCATTGTCTTCAGTGAGTTACTATCTCACAACAGACCTGGTTGAACTCCACTGGTCACTTCTCACTAGAACTCCAGGATATACCTCTTGAAACCAGTCTCTAGTGAGCATATGTTGATTAATATCAGATGGGTTTTGTGGATATTATAGTAATTTCAATGGTTAAGATCATGAGGTATATCCTGGAGTCCTAGTGAGAAGTAGTGACAAGTGGAGTTCAACCAGGTCTGTTGTGAGATAGTAACTCACTGAAGACAATGGTGGATGTGTCTTCCAATTCCGTGAATTACTTGAAGTCAGACATTAACACCACTGAATGCTGGCTAGCTCGCGCGCGAGACCGATAGGTCCTGTGTTCGAATCTCGCAGAGGGCGAGGTCGTGGATGCGCAGTGTTGTGGAGTCCCACAATAGGATGAAACGGCCGTCCAGTGTTTCCAGGTTTTCCATGGTGGTCTAGCTTCAACTGACTCATGATCTTAACCATTGAAATTACTATAATATCCACAAAGCCGTCTGATATTATTTTCGAGTTACATAACTGTTTTGAAACGACTATTTAGGGTTTTGCAAAGCTGTTTACAATAATTTCCATTGTCAGTATAGTGTTATTGGTATGATTATAGAAATAATCTTTCTTGTGACATTTTCTCCACCACATTCAAGAAGATGATGATTTCTATTCAACTGGCTAATTTATTTCGTTTATAACTGAGAGATTGCATTTACCAACAATTCATATATTTTATTTTAGTGTCACAGTTCTTTTATAAGTTCAAGATTTACGCGTAAATATGAAATATGAATAAACCATAATTTATTGATCATCATAATAACTAATACCTTTTCATTTTCGACAGAATAACTTTAAAATTGAAATAGTACTGTAAAATTTCTAGTTCAAAATTTAGTTATGTAAACAGTTGGACTGGCTCTCTTTCTAAATGTGTATGTATATCAATTTATGTAAGATTGAAGGTAGGGATAAGGTCAAGTAAATATTTTAAAATTCTATAAGCGAAAGGTAACTATCTTCTTGTTGTACGCCATCTAAATTATATAAGCTATATCAAAGAAGGACCAAAGATATAATCGTTTTTTTTAAAAAAAAAACTCGTATACATTTATGTGCATGCACTTAGGCCTGCCTATCCATATTTCTGTTGTAAAACCACGTGTTACTAAAGCACACTTATCCCTAAAGCCCTCAATGTTTCCTAAATGATAAATTAGACTAGACAGGCATAACTAGGACAGGCATCATTAGGCACAAAAAGTGTATGCACCCGCAACACAACACATACATATCCATAATAAATACTCTTGATTCGTTTTCCTCTAGCTCATAGTTATTAAGGTGCTTGGTATCTTATTTCATAAGTGGGAGAAAGTTTCAGTAAATTACACAGATCATAAATATTAAAATGTTATGATATGTTTCGGGTTACCACAGTTATTATCACCTTATATCCAAACAACTTAAAATCATATATTTCATATGTTTAAAGAATAGACTTTTTGGGTACATTTGGACTTTTACACAATAAATTTTAAAATGTCCCGTGAAAACGAACTCAAGTATTTGATATCAGGAAATCTGCATTAACATCGTAAATTCATACGCACTTGTTAATTATAATATCATAGATTTTCGTTCATAGTTATTGAACTACTAAAACTTGGCCTAGATTGATTTTGTTTTTATATCTAAGAGAATTTCCTAATTCGAACAATTTCGAAAGTTACAATTAACTTATTTTAGTACAGAAACACTTATGCGTTAATCCAAAACAATTCAACATAGAATTCTTTTGTGTTTAAATATACACAGAAACAAGGTGATAATTATATTTCATTTTTATTGTGGATTTATTCTGTTGGGTGGTGATTTTCAAAAAAAGTGAACAGTGATTCAACTATACAAGTGAACAAATAAAACACTAAAATATGCCTCCAGGTAAGTGAAGATCTACATTATGTAATGAAGATTATTCGATTGCGTAATAATCTTTAACTTTTATTGAATATAGTTAGTTAAAAATAAAGATTGTCTTATGTATTTGTTGTATTCAACGATCAATGAACTAATCATACAGTAACTAAATTGTTGAACTGTTTTTCATTCTATTAACTATACTTCTATCAACCATGATCAACTTAATTACCTGCGCTTAAATGTGTAACTTCAAACCAAATGTATGAACCTTGACTTGAATACCGAGTCATATTTTATGTTGTTTGATATAATTATTAGCTAATGTAAGGAATATCTATGCCTTTATTTGATTAAAGTATGATTATTTTACTAAATTGAATTATTTAATCAAATTAGTCCAATCATCTCATGTGATGAATTCTTTTAAACGGTCATATTAGGACTGTAATCGTCCGAACGCGAGACCGTAGGCCCTTGGTTCGAGTCCCGTATTGGGGATCGTGGATGCACACTGTCGAAGAGTCCTATACTAGGACGAAACGTCCATTCAGTGCTTTTATTTCAGTGTTGGTCTTGTTTAATTGGATTCACTAATTCAACTAATGAAAAAACTGTATGATGTATGATAATAATATTGTTCGGTCAAGAGGAACTTCGTGAATTAGACACCAAACTTTCATTATTATACTTAAATTATAGTCCAAACAAAATTTATGTACAATTTTTCTATCAGTATATTTCAGAAATTCTATACGTCATAAACAAACTGAAAGAAGAATAACTAATAATGTACTAGAGAATATGTTTGCCTAACTATTCGGGATAAAATTGACTAAAATTGATAAGATGATAGTTTTTATTATTATTCAGTTTAGGACTTTTCAGTTGCATTTTCTCTTGACCACAAATCCAAACATTAGCAAGATGTCTATCGTCAATTAAGCCAGAATCAATTAATTAGTGATATTCAAGATATAATCATTTAACCCAGTAGTTCAATATGAATTTAGATTAGGTTGAGAGTAGTCAGCAGTTGTTTTTAACGCGTATAAAATGCATATTTCAAAGTGATTTTACATGAGTCAAGAGTTCACCATTGGAACATTTACCTCATTTTAATCACTCAACTAACATACTGATCCTAGTATTGTTTATGGAGGCTGTTCACAGCTTTTATTTCTTTCATATCATTGGATATTAGTAGTTTGATCGTTTCAAACTCCTTATTTGTTTATTTTTGAATAAATTAACTTTCGTAAGTTTGAATGGTGTTGACCGAAACAGTGAATAACTGAAGGATGCTATTGATTTCGTCCATTAATTTATGGATTACTAGCTTAATACAAGGGTAACTGGATCTCATGACACTTTTGTGACTAGGATCTTACTTAACTGAACAATGAGTGAGTAACCAAGCTGTTGGGCATAGATGTTAGAAATTTAAAGATAACCAACTTAGTATAAAGATCATCTGAAATAACTTATTATCTAAGACTGATGTTTTGATCCAAACACGTTTATAAAAAACAGAATGACATAAAATTACAGTTCATCTACCATTTCAATCAAAATGGTGATAATTCACTTAACTGTTGTCTAAAAAGTAGGGTATTGTGTTAATTGAACAAATAAGTACTGTCATTAAGAGGATATTCGTTAGAATTCTGCCTCCAATATTTCGTTTCATAATCAATCATAATCTCTGGCTAACTCAGTGAACAGTATTATTTTAAAATGTGTTTCTTGAGTGCTAATCAAATACTTACAAAATTTTTATTGCTTAATAAACAAGTATGCTCATTACAAAGTCTACAGTATTATGACTTCGAAACTGTCGCTTATCCTTTATTTCACAGACATTTATCCACTCAGGCATTATTCTCAATTGTGGTGATAAGTTTCATTAAGAATTGTATACCAAAAGCTTAGATCGACTCCAGAATACAACTGTGAAAATATTACAATCCTCACAAATCCCCATACTGATAATACTCATGCGCTCACTAATGACTAGCTTCAAGATGAATTCCCTGGAGTTCTAGTGAGAAGCCGTGACCTATGGAGTCCGGTCCGTGTCGGGTGTGGGATAGTTACCTACCGAAGACAATAGAAGATTGTCACTCAATTTCGTAGATTGACTAAAGTTAAACATCAGCACTGTTGGATGCTGATTCAGTTGTCTAGAACGTTAGGCATTCGCACACGAGACCGAAGGTCCTGGGTCCGAGTTCTTCGTGCAAGATCGTGGATACACACTGTCGAGGAGTCCCGCACTAGGACAAAACGGACGTTCAGTGTTTCTAGGTTTATAATGGCGGTCTGTCTTAGGTCGACTCATGAGTTCAATTGTGAAATTACTACAATCTCCACAAATCCTCATTCTGAGAAAATCTTTTTTTCATAGTACACAATGTCAATATGATTCCTCATTTTTTCTGATTTTTAAGAAATCATGCATAAAATTTTAGTATTTTGATGTATGTATATCATGAGTTTTCTAGCTATAGATATATCTTTATCATAAAAGGTAATAAAAAAATACTTAGATGTAAGGAATACGTCTCATTGATCTTATTTTGAATGATAAATACTGGTATTTGCTACTGGAAACAGTGGATATATTGAATGAAGTAAAAACACAAAGACAGTAGATGAAGACTCACTTGACTTCAAAAATACTTCGAAATTATATACGAATACACTGGTAGTTTATAAAGTTACTCACTTTTTGATTAACATTCAGATTGGTATAACTCTAACTGAGAAGTATTTAACATCAGTTAACCTATAACTTATGAATATGGACACATAAGAAGATATGACTCACCCAATGAGTTACATCGTTTTCTTCTTTCTTAATTATGGTTGTATTTTACAAACAACTAGAAGAAATCGATTACATCCGAATCAACTAAGTTCTTGCACACTATACCAGTTCTCCAAGAGCAGCTGATGAATTTAAAACTGATTACTAATTTTAAATACACCTTTTTAAACGTTTGCCACTGAGTTTGGCTTGTTCAAAAGAATATTCAGAGAACAGTTAGTTTGAAGCAATTGTCCTATTATGCGTATATATAACCATTTTAGTCATAAATCGATTATCAGGAGTAAAATAATTGACTTTTAGACTACTTACCCGAAACTCAGTAGTATACTATGTTAAGTCACAGGAAACGTTGAGTTTTATATGGCTCTTACTCATGTTAGTTAAAGAAACAACATTCAATCTATGTATGTTGGTTGAAATGACATGATGATGAAGACATTTATTGAAATTAAAGTAAGAGTAGGGAAATATGTGAGAAAACATATAACATTTTACGAAAGAACGTTTTTCTTGTCAGTAAATTCAAGTCAGATTTTACGTTTCAGTTCAAGTGAATGATTAATAATTGTATAGGGCATTGCTTTAAAATCATAACATTAAAAAAAAATTTGAGAATACTCTTACATGTTGTTCATTTGTACGAGATGATAGTCTGAGTGAAATTGTAAGTTTATTAATGGGAGTAAACTAAGTTAATATAAGGTGAAACACAGTTATATAATAGTAATCAAATCTATTGTTTGGTAAAACTTTACAAAATCAATAAAATCTTATATGGCGTGTTCAGTTATATAGGAAACATATAGCAATAGAATGTTTATAGTAAGCGTCTTTGGTAATCTTATGATCGAGACAATTATTAAGTTATTGTGATTGATGAAAGAAGAATATAAAAGTTAAAGAAAATTAAATATTGATGGATACGGAGAGTTTATATATTTCTTTGTGATTTTGAATTAGTCGATTTCACTTTCTCCCAAGGAGTAAGTGAAATTTTTTATTTACAAACATGTTTTATGACAATATTATGTAATCAATGTAAATGCGTTCTTATATGTAAGTTAAGAATATATGAATCTAGTCATTGTTTTACATAAGTAAAAATCCTAAATTAAGAAACATAATAATAGAGTTATGATGCATTAAATGTTTATGTGAAGAACGTATTGATGACTCGGTTTTAGAAAAGATGATAGTTGAAATTGAAAAATGGATAGAATCATGACAAAATTTGAATCAAGGCCTGACAACTATGAATACCATACTCTACTAATTGTAATGCTATATCCAGCTACTGGAAAGATTTTTTCAGTTTTAATGTTGTAATAAATGTGAACGCACACCATCAAATTTTACATCCTCTTATTTCTAAGGCAATCTAACAAATCTAGATACAGTTATCTACTGAAAAATGTACTTAATATAACAGTATCTGTTATGATATCACAAAGTAAAGACTGTATACCACATGATCCGATCAATATTCATGAATGATAACAAATTTGTATTTCATCAACTAATGGTTTTACATAGTGAGAACAGTACTTTAAGTCCATAAACTGACGTTTTCTAAGTAAATCAGTTAAAAACATTATGATAAAAAGAGAAGTTCTGTATTGAATTATTCATCCAAAAATATATCTTCTAATGCTAAGAGTAGATAGTGTTGTAATTAAATAGATCCATAATTAATTATATGTTAGTCTACAAGTTCTTATCATGTGAGATAACGTTTTCTGAATGGTATCTTGTGGATCAAAGCTATTCTCTTAAAAATAGGGTCACCAGAATTAAAATCATGTAATCTTGAATGATAATTTTTAAATCACAATAAGATATAAGCTTATTCATATTGGCTTGTTACTGTCAATTGTTGCAACTGTGACAACTAATTATTTATGTAAATCATAGTATTTTATTATGCTTAATTTTTGGTGGAATAGTAAACTATTCTATAATTTATTACGTTTTTCCCTTAGAGAAACAGTTAGGATTTGAGTTTTGAGGTATCACATTGTTCAATAATATCACCAACGGATTTACATAAATAAATGTGAAGCAAAAACGACTACAATGTTTAACTACTTTTATTTTATGGAACTGTATGAAATGATTACCTTCTGTTAAAATAATAACAATATATGAAGTTTTTGAACTCCGGTAGTTACCAGATACTGTTATTTTTTTCTTG